CCAAAGTCCGCAACAAAGAGCAAGAGATGCGCCGAAAGGCGACGATAGAGGAGTGCAAGACTACCAAAGAGAGGAAGAGTTTGGTCCGTATGCTCTCGTCCAACAAGATTCAGGCCAATTGTCGCAACAGTATTCCCATACAAATACCTAAACCCAAGCGACGGCACGTGTCCTTCAATAGGTATCATCACTTCATTTGATCCATTGTTTTTACCATAAGATAATTACATGACATGATAACAGCTTTTACCATAATCTATGTTGAATGACATACTGGCACGATTTTTAATCCATTTGATCTGATTTTGTAGGCAATTAAGTCACGACCCGTCAAATCCGCTCCCGTGTCACGACTGGACGGACAACGAGGAGGCAATAGTCGGCTCGCATCACGAAGAGTCGGTGTCCAACCGTCCGGTGACGCCATTCCGGCGCATGAACTCAATCGATTCGGTCGACTCCAAGAGCCCGTCCATTAACTCATCCCTATTGTCAACGAGCGCTGAGTCGACCCCTTATTTCATTACCCGTCCGGCGATGAATCGGCTCAACTCACACACATCGCGGGTCTCCTACACCGGCAACTCTATCAAAGAGGAGGACGAAGAGGACGAGGAGGGCTGCATCGATGAGGAGGATGTGGTCGACGAAGACAATGACCGCAAGCCCGACGAGTCCGACCCCAGCGTCTGTCCCGCCCTTAACGATGATATTGAAGAGTTAAGACAGGTATTGATTATTACCGATGAAAACAAATAACTTATATATAAAGCATTATAAGTCTTAATGCGTTTACCATATTGTCTATAGAGGGCTAAAGAAAGGACACAAAGTTTTGCGGCGTTTCGGCTGATAAGCGATGAGAAACGCGAGACCGGATCCATCTCGAAGAAGGTCTACCTGTCGTACTTCAAGAGGTGTTCCCTCTGCCTGTCCTTCTCGTGTCTAATACTGATTATATCGACGCAAGCATTCAAAGTGGCCTCAGATTTCTGGTTAGCGCAGTGGTCAAAGTCGGACGTCTCGGTGGCCAGCGATGACCAGCGGCTACTCTATTATATCAAGGGATACGCTCTGCTCTCCATTATTACGATCGCCATATCCCTCGTCTCCAATCTGTTGTCTCAATTGACAAGTCTTCGCGCCGTACGACTACTCCACCTCCAGATGCTGGACAATGTGATCCACTGTCCGCTCCGGTTCTTCGACGTCACACCGTTTGGTCGTATTATTAATCGTTTTTCAATCGACATGAATACCATTGATAAGGTATGTCCTCCAGCGTTGTCCTCCACTCTTTGTATTTAGTTTAAAACTAATGGTGATCTAAATGTGTGTCTCACTTCAGAAACTGCCGATAGCCCTACCGGTGCTGTTGAGGTTCATATTCCTGTGTGTATCGGCCATTATCGTAGACCTGATAATCACGCCGTACTTCGCCATCGCTATAATACCGATACTTATTATCTATTACTTTGTGCAACACTTCTTCCGGTTTACGTCGCGAGAGTTACAGCGTTTGGATTCAATCACAAAATCGCCGATATTTTCGCTGTACAGCCAAACCATCGACGGTCTGACCACTCTTCGGGCCTTCAACGAAGAGATCAGTTTTACCGACAAAATCTACGAACTGTTGGACATCAATAATATATGCTTTTTGATGGTTAACTCAGCCAACTGTTGGTTAGGTATGTGAATAGCATTAAACACGTGATAATATTACGATTATAACCATGATCATTTGTATTGTATTCTAATTGTCAGGTATTGCATTGGACTATTTGGGAGGTGTTATACTGTTTTGCGCCACAATAACGTCTGTGTGGGCGGCCATTCACCTTAACATGAGTCCAGCCTACGTGGGTATGGCCCTGACGTATACCCTACTGGTGCCCATTTACCTGAATTGGGTGGTCAGGAATCTGGCCTCACTTGAGATGTACATGAATTCAGTGGAAAGGGTTCGCGAGTTCTCACATCTGGAGATCGAGGACAAGGAGGAGGACTCGATGGAAGACATGCACAGTAAGCACAGCAAACACCCGGGCTTTCAATAATGGGTTAATGTATTGTTTTTTATTTGTGTAGAAATTACCGAAAGTTGGCCACAAAAGGGCGAAATAAAGTTTATCGATGTTAGCCTTAAATACGAGTCTACTGTGGAAACTGTGGTAAAAGGGGCCACATTTTCGGTCAAACCTGGCGAAAAGGTACTTGGTCATTATTTTAGTAGCGCAATACAATTGTATTTATCATGTAATAATTACTAATACATGTGTATATATTAGGTGGGGATCTGCGGTCGGACGGGTTGTGGCAAATCCTCGCTTATGAACGCATTGTTTCGCTTGAATCACATCACAAAAGGAAAGATACTGATAGACGGCGCGGACATCACTAAAATACCCACTCATCTGCTCCGTAGCCGACTGT